TTTTAATTTCTTTATATATTTATAAAAAATATCTTTTATAAGTTTATGTTGAAAAATAAAAATTAATTTTTATTTTATTTATTTTTTATTAAATTCATTTACTTGATAATGATATTAAAATTAATGTTAACTTTTAATTTCTTTATATATTTATAAAAAATATCTTTGAAACGTGGCATTAACAAACTCTAAAAAAATTATTTTTAAAAGATAAAATAAAAAATAAATAAATCTTAATAATTCTTGAGAAATGATTGACATCTTTTTATAGGTAGATTCTGGTTGGGCTGTTATTATGTCTTAAATTGCCACTACCACACATTTAATTTTCTTTGGATAAATCTACCTATTGTAATTAAATAACCTCTTAAATACTTGCTACAGTACCTTTTATATTTCAAATATTCCCTTAATTTTCCTTTTTCAATTACTGATTTTTTTCTTCCCTAAAGAAGTTCAAAAGTAACTTCAATAGAGTGACTCAATAATTAATAATTTAAAATTTTAAATTGAAAATTTTAAATTTGAATTTTGAGTCGAGTAAAAAAGAATTGAAAAAAAAAAGTTATTTTCTCTTATATAATCTATTTAGATGTAAAAAAAAAAAAAAATCAAAAGTTTCTTATTAACAAATTCATCTTTGTCCGTATCTACAATTCATTAAATTTTATTTATTACCAAAATGGTAATTATTTGGAAGATCCAAAGTATTTTTTTTTATTAAGAATTTCGAATAAAATACAAGATTAACCTAACCCTTTTGCCCTTCAATCACCGAAAACGCCTGTTAATCACGGCTGTTACTTTCAACTTTTGTAGAGAAATTTGTTCATAATATATTTTTTTAAAAAAAATTTAAAATATTTAACTTCTTAATCAAACCTGTTTGATACAGCTAATGCCCTAACAAATATTGGTAGATCGCACAGTCTTATTATTTTTATTTAATAATAACTTGTATTGTCATGTAAAAAAAAATTTAATTAAATTGATATCTATTCATTTAAAAATTTTAGTTTAGATTAAAATTAAAAATTTAAATATATGTGCTATCAAGTAAGACATGCCCCAAAAAAGAAAAAAACTTATATCATTATTGTAACTTCCTTATTTTGGTTAAAGTATTGCAATTGTAATTATATTTTTCTTTTATTATCCCGGAGATGCTACATTTACAATTTTAATTGTATAATTCTATTTATAAATTATATAGTATTAAATAAATAAATATATAATATTATAAGTAGATGTTTAGGTAAAAAAGAATCAAATACATGTGATATATTAAATTATGAATAAAATTGTATAGTTAGGATTATGTGACATAACTTTTCTTTTATTATAATCTTTTTTTTAGTGAAAGTAAAAAACTTTAAATTTGAATTGTATGATATAAGAGTGAAGAAAGTAAGGGAAAAAAAAAAAGAAAATACTATTGCCATACAACCCAAGATTAAAAAAAAAAAGAACCTTTGCATTAGAATCTTCAATGTCCATACTTAAGCTTTATTTAGTATCATTATAATTTTGAGTTTTTTGTTTTGATTTGAAAAAATTTAAAAGCACTAGTATAAAATTAAGTAATTTTATAAATTAATTAAATTTGAAATTTAGAGTATTTATTTTAAAATTTTATATATAATAAATTGTAATTTTTAATTTTTAATTTTGACTCTTTAAATTTTATAAATCAAAATAAAAAATTTAAAATTACAACTATATCAAACAAAGTCTTAAAAAATATTTTATTTCAAAATAAAATTCTTTATTTGCATTTTTTTGGTAAAAGACGATAGCATTAGATATTAATTAGCCCTTCCGGTTCTGGGAAGAACATTCCCAATGGCATCCCAGTACAAAACATAGGAAACATTAGACGGGCATTGATCATCCATAACAAAATCAGACTGTTACGTAGTGCCTATTGTCGCTAAACAGATAGTAGTTGGCTTCCCTTATTTGCATCATTATTATTATTTTTTTTAACAAGTTTATATTTATAGGTTGAGATTTGAACTTTAACTCTTAAATTAAGAGGTATATTTTACAATTCAATTTACAATTATTGAGTTGTAAAATCGAGGTGCCTTTGCATTAATTTTTTTTTGATAGTTTACAATTTTGAGAGGGAAATTTCTTTTAAGGTGATGATACGGTTCAAAATCCTAACTAACTTAAACACTTTAAGATTCCAAGATAAACCACTTAAGACCAAAAAGGCTCAATTTGCGTTTGCATTACTCTTTTGAAAAAATAGAAGAAAAAAAAAATATAGAAACCCAAAGTGGAATGTAAATTTCAACAGCACGTGTAGTCAATCTATTTAAACGTGAGCGAACATCCTACGCAAGTCAAGGGCAAAACTCTACTATTTAATTTTTTACTTTAATAAATTTATAAATTTTAATTTTT